AGATTCTCAAAAGCACTTAAAGGACTGTTAAACATGCTTATCCATCAGAGAAATGAAAATCAAAACTACTTTATAATTCAATCTTATATCTGTCAGAATGGCTAAGATCAATAACACAACTGACAGCTCATGCTGTTGAGAATGTAGAGCAAGGGGAACACCCCTCCATTGTTGGTGGGAATGCTACTATGGAAATAAATATGGTGATTCCTCAGAAAATTGGGGTTTGATCAACTTCAAGATCCAGCTATACTACTTTTGGACATGTACCTAAAAGATGCTCTATCCTACCACAAGGCCACTTGCTCAACTATATTCGTAGTACTTTTATTCATGATGGCAAGAAATTGGATCCTGAAGGAATCTATATGCCCCTCAACCAAATAATAGACACTGAAAATGTAATATATTTACATAATAAAGCATTACTCAGTGTTAGAAAAAAATATAAAATTTGCAAGAAATGAATGGAACTAGAAAAAATTACCCTGAGATAGGCAACTCAGACCAAGAAAGACAAACATATGCATATGTATACACTTATAAGTGTATATTAGCTGTTAAGTAAAGGAAAATCATGTTAATCTGCAGATCCAGAGAAGTTAGATAAAGAGGAGAGGTCAGGAGAGTATGTATTTGCAGATCTCCCTGGGAAAGAGAGAGAACATATTTTGTGGATGGACTGGAGGCAGATGGGAATGGGATCAGGAGGAATCAGGTCAGGGAGGGAGGTGTCGAGGGAAAGAGTACTTGGAGGGACTACTGGAATAGCTGAGCATTTAGGGGGTGATGTGGAAACCTAGTGCAGTGGAAAGTTCTTGGAATATATGAGGGTGACCCTACTTAGGACTCCTAGTAATGGGAAATATTTAACCTGAACTCTCAGTGGTGGGACTGGGGCATCAACTCAGCCACAAAACCCAAGACTGACAACCTGTCCTGCCTACAAGAAGCACTGGAAGAATAGTCACTCAGCGCTTGTGGGAGTGGCCAACAATGACTAGTCTAACTTGAGACTCAAGGCAGGGGAAAGAGTCCATGCCAACATTATGTAAGTGGCCAGGAACTGGAAGTTGGATGACTCAAGAGACCTAAGGTAGAATCAAAAATGACTGACTAGATAGATAGATAGATAGATAGATAGATAGATAGATAGATAGATTAGATAGATAAATAAAATCAATGTAATAATTCTTAATGATATTCTGCTATGCTCATAGGTTGGTACCTAGCGCAGTCGTCATCAGAGAGGCTTCCTCAAGTAACTGATGAAAGCAGATGCAGAGACCCAACAACCAAAGATTAGGCAGAGCTCAGGGAACCCTGCAGAAAAGAGGGAAGGATTGTAGGAGCCAGGAGGGTCAAGGACAGCAAGAGAACACCATACACAGAATCAGCTAAGCAGGGCTTAGAGGGGCTCACAGAGACTGAAGTGACCATTATGGAGCTTCTATGGGTCTGAGCTATGCCTTCTGCACATGTGCTGTGGTTATTCAGCTTGCGATTTTTGTTGGATGCCTAACACTGGGAGTGCGGGTATTTTGGACTCTTTTGCCTGCTTGTTGGACCCTTTTCCTCCTACTGGGTTGCCTCCTTCAGCCTTGATAGGAGAGTTTGTGCTATGATCTGTTCAGTTGATATCCCTGGTAGGCCTGCTCTTTTATGAAGAGAAAAGGAGGGGCAGTGTGGATCTGGGGGAGCCTGGAGGTGAGACAAGGATCTGGGAGGAGTGGAGAGAGGGGAAACTGTGGTTGGGTTATTTTGTATGAGAGAGTAAAAAAGAAAAAAAAATCAACAACCATAAAAACAACAAAATGTAGCAATAAAGTGATTCTTCATGACATTCTGCTCTATTCATATTAGTTTGTTGCTCAGCCATCACTAGAGAATCATCCTCCTGCAGTAAGATGAAACAAACAAACAAACAAACAAAGAAAAAAACCTGCAGAAATCCATAGCCTGGCATTATGCAGAGAACACTCAGTCCCAACTGGAACGACTCTATTAACTTCCTCCCCTTAGGGGTCAAGGAAACCCAGAGAACAGCAGGCAGAAAGAATTTAAAGGCAGAGAATTTAAAGATAGAGGATAACCAGAAACCCGGGGCCTCTAAGTCAGCAAGACTGACACAAATATGAACTCACAAAGACTAGAGGCAGCATGCCCAAGGCCTGAATAGGTCTGGACAAGGTCCTCTGTGTACACATTATACTTCCCAAACATTTTATGGGATTCCTGAGTGTGGGAATGAGTGGGTCTTTGTTTCCTGTGCCTTCTCTTGCACTCTTTGCCTTCTGTTCTTCTTTATTCATTTGTATTTTGTTTTTGTTTTTCGTCCAATGTGGTAGCCTTCATTTTATCTTATTTTATTTTTTTTCTTAGAAACTTCGTTGTTTTCTAAGGAAAAACAGAGAGTGGGTCCACCTGGGAGGGGAGGAGGGAAGGAACTGGAAGGATTGAGGGAGGGGAAACCATAATCATGATACATTATGTGAGAAAAAAAAATCTATTTTCAATAAAAGGAAAGAAATGATCAAGGTGAAAATAAATAAATATTAATGATTGATGGAGGTGGGTCTTGTATCTTATCTGTTGCTTTCATTGGTTAACTAATAAAGAAAACTGCTTGGCCCTGATAGGACAGAAAATTAGGTAGGCAGAGTAGACGGAACAGAATTCTGGGAGAAAGAAGCTGAGTCAGGGAGTCACCATGATTCTCCCACTCCAGACAGCCACAGGTTAAGATCTTCCCTGGTAAGCCACCTTGTGGGCTACACAGATTATTAAAAAATGGGTTAGATCAATATGTAAGAGCTAGCCAATAAGAGGCTGGAACTAATGGGCTAGACAGTGTTCAAAAGAATACAGTTTTCGTGTAATTATTTCAGGGCATAAGCTAGCTATGTGGGCAGCTGGGTGCCGGGGATACAGCCCCACTGCTCCTAATACTACAACTTGTAATGTGGTGTTTAGTTGCTATCCGGATGCCTGCTCTTTTCTGAAGGGAAGGCAATGAAGAGAGGATCTGGGGGAGAAATAAGGTTTTAGGTAACTAGGAGGATTGGAGGGAGGGGGAACTTAGGTCAGGATTAATGTGTGAAAATAATTAATGATAATAATAATAATAATAATAATAATAATAATAATAATAATAATAATAATAATAATAATAATAATAATAATAATAAAGATTTTGTTGTTTCTGTTCATTGGTTGAGCATGGGAGAGCTGCAAGTTTGTGGGAGCTTCTAAGTCTAGTTGTGGACTTACACAGACCTAAGTTACAACTTCAAAACTTAGCTCTTCTGGTCAAATAAATCCAAGCAATTCTTTCTTAACATGGCACTTTAAAAATACAATCTTTTATTTCAAGGACAAACTGCTACTATAAATAAAGAGTTGATGAATTTCGAGTAAACTGTCAAAAGTAATAATCATGTGCAGAATACAAACATAGTCTTTGGAGTTCGTTTGCTTTATTTCCTGATCATCCCATTCTTAAAATGAAGGGATAATTACCTGGATATATGGAAAATGCAACCTAAATCTCCATAGAAACCAATCAACTCAGAAAACACTACTCATCCAAGTATAGGCAACTATCCATAATCTACATAAACTTTGGGTATTAGTTCCCTAAGAATTCTGCAATAAAAAGAAAACAACGTTAGCATTTTGATAATGATGGGAGTATTTTCTTCCTCCAAACAAGAAATCTTTTTGATAATTCAGACTACATGTGACAAATTTTCATAATGGACTGCAGTAAAAATCACAGTGGCTGCTGCTTCCCTTCATGGCTCTCGGCCAGGCCAGGGGGATCCATCCTTGTAACACTTGAGTCTGTCTCTCTTATTAGCGCCAAGAAGCAGTTAACTGTGATCAAGACTATTAGTACCTAATATCTCAGAATTTTCCAAGAGAGCGAGAGGGGAAATATTTGATGCATGAAAACTTGAGGCCAACACAGACTAATTAGTCTTATTAAGTCAAATAACCAAGGAAATAGAAAACATATAAACAATGCATTTTCCCGAAATGCATTGTGAAACTAAAAGTACTATATAGTCAAGAATGTCATAAGGTGAGGCATGAATACAGAGGGAATTAGCTTTAGAAATACGAGTTCCCTACATCATGGGAACAAGCAGCCTGCTCAAACTCAGGAAATGGAAATACAATTGCTGCTGCAGATCAAGGGTTCATGGCAGGGGTAAGACTGACTGAGGAAAAGCAAAAGAAAAAAGGGGGAGGGAGAAGAAGAAAGCAAAACAACCAGCTCCTATGGGCCTCAGATAGACTTGAGATAATGTTTACTTTTATTTAACAAATCAGTAATATTTTTTAAAAAATATCGAAGTCTAAAGGAAGCTGTCTACAGCTGTTTTGTTTTCTCCTAATTCCCTGCCTTCCTCATACCCCTCCCTCCATTTAGCTCTCCTTTCTTTCCACTCTTTCTTTGCTTCACTCCTTTTATTTCCGTGTTGAAACCCTTAACCTACAATGAACAGATTTCCACTTAAGAACCATATACTCCAAACCTTACAAAACACCGTGACCTGCGCCTGAAAATGCAGACACCATTTTAAGGAGGAAGAAGTGCTTTTTGCACACACACTGCCCCCCTGAAATATTTTCCTGTTTAGCCATGGAATCCTTTTCTTGTCGAGACAGTGCAGCAGCGTTTGGGAAGCATCAGCAGGCCAACAGATGCTTGGAATCAAATGACTTAATAGGCATACACATTTTCCACCAAATAATTGCAAAGCTTTGCTTTAGCCCTTTTCATACCTTGCATAGTTAATTAGCTAGGACTTAATGTTTACATGCAACGAGAGTATCTACGGCTATAAACTACATAATTTATAATTGATGTAAATGGGTGTTATTATGTCAATTAGGCAGCTGTGTCCTCCACCTCTTGGTAAACAGCTATGAGTGATAAAGTGAGTTTGCAGAGAGCTACCTTCTTCTCTTCATAACAGATAAAAATAAATTACCCAGGCAGACCAAGCTGTCCAATTGTTCTCTGGTGAAGTGGATGGAAAGTCCAGGCCCTTTCTTTTGACCTGTTGACTGCACGAAGCTGTCAATTTCGTCACGCAGCGCTTCCACAGCTTCTGGGTGCCGAAGAAGATAATACACTGCCCAGTACACAGCTGGAATGGTGTTTGCCATAGAGGCCCAGAGAAAGCCAAGATGATGGGCTGGGAGAAAAGAAGTGAAAAGGAAGATTAATAGCGTTTATTACACTGATTAGATTTGCAGTGTGCTAATTAAAAGATGTTAGGACACAGACCCAGCCAAGGATCAGTGCATGCTAATGAGAACCAATAGGCTTCTGAAGTCTCATTTTCTGCTTAATGAGAAGAGTTTAAAATGTAATGTGTGTTGGGGGGGCAGGAAGGTGGGGATGAGATAAGGGGAGTAAACGCCGCTTAGTTATACTCTTTCTCATTATCGTCATTAAGTATCTTGTTTTACTACTTCAGCAAAAAAAAAAAAATCAATTATCACAGAGGGTTGTTTCAGAGTAAAACATTTTATCACTAGCCAATTAGAAAGAGCATAAAAATTTTCAAGGTCGCCATTTTTCCTTTCATCTCAAAGGTCTCCTGTAAATTATTTTATTTTAGTGAGTAATCATTTAGAACCTTCTTACCTCCTATTTCTAAGTCTTCACGCCCATAGTGTTTTTCCAGAATCTCTTTCCTTTCCTGAACAATTTCTGAGCATCCATGCATCTGATCTAGTTTTTCGGACATGAGGCATCTTATAAGTTTCTCCTGCATAGATTTCACATGTCTTAGAAGCTGAATGGGTATATCGGATATTAAGTATGGAAATGTGTCATCGAATTTTAGAAAGTCATCTCTTAACTCACTGATAATTTTCTTCCTGTTACCAGCAAGAAGTTTTCCATAGATAGTCGTAAATGTGGTCTCAAATACCAGTGAGCTAATGAATGGAAACAGTCTTGATGTATTCCACTCTGTGGTTTTTAGTAGTTGGGGCTCAACGATTTCTTTCAGTTGTTGGGTTAGGCTTTCTAGGAGACTGTCCAAAGCTTTGCCTTGTAGAAACAGGTAGGCTCTGTGAATGTCTTCATTAAGGTCATCATCAGTTTTCAGCTTCTTGATGGAGAAGGCTTTCGATGATAACTGTTTGCTGAACTCCTGAAAGCTGAATTGTTTGGGGTTTTTCCTTATGAGATGGTAGTGGAAGGGGTTCAGAACAAACGTTATATACTTCCCTAAAAAAAAAAGAATATAATTTATTTGATAGCAAGGCAAAACCCATATCTTCAGTCTGAAAATATTTAAATCAAAATTAGAGACTTTATTAAGAAGTTAACAGTTTTATCGCACAAATTGAACAGGAATCCATTCCACTCAAATGCCCACTCTGTCTGCTTTGAAAATGAAGGATGCTATGAAAAAAAGCTCTCAAAGTTTGAAGGTAAATGAAGTTCTAAACTTCACCACTCACTATGGCCTGTCTCTCAAAATGGGCACAAACTTTGGAGAGTTCCTGGCCGAACCCCTGCATTGAGCAGCTGAGAGCCAGGACAACTGAGGCAGTGCAGCTTGCTTGCCCTCACTCAGCTCTGGCTTCTCACTGCAGTACTGCTTCATGGTTTCTTCTGGTTAGAGTGAGGACGTGCAATAGCAACAGTGAGTACATCTTTTCTTTCTAAAAACACAAGTTACGTTAGGGCAACCCTTCAGTGGTCATGTTCAGCTATTAGTGTGTGTACTCCATTCTCTCTGTCTCTGTCTGTCTGTCTGTCTGCATCCCCCTGACCGTGTGTGTGTGTGTGTGTGTTTGTAGTTTTCTTAGTTGAAAAACTTCCTCTCGTGATTTATGGTAATTCCAAATATATTGCAAAACTTAATTAATTGGTACAAATTATTTTAGATAAAGATTTGGAAACACTGTAAAGCAAATCCTAGAGACAGTATAAATGTTTTTATTAGGCAATTTAAAAAATATAACTTAAGTGTTAAATGCAGTTTAACACTTACAATGCAATTTATTTTCCTTACAGTGATTTTTATCCACTCCATATTCCCCTGATTCATTTAACAGAGCAGGACAAGACAGAAGCTATGTAGTCCAGACCTAGCTGTTCATCCTGGTCAGATACTAGCACCGCCTTCTGCAAAGTAAGTCGAGTTTTGTTTTCATTAGTTCTTTGTTTTGCTTCAAAAACAGCAGAAAGGACCCCATTAAATTTGGGCATTTTCAATAACTTGCTTTACCATGATAACTTAACTAAAATTGCCAGGATCTGCCTGGCAAAAAAATGAGAATGCGGGAGTCAGTTTTCTCATTTTTCAAAAGAGACAATTTTAGGCAAAGCTGTGTATTTTCACAGGTGATGATTCATGCATTCTTTGTCTCAAATGAATGGGTTTTCTTAAACATTAATAGGATTTTTTAAAAGCAGTATCTGAAATTCAGAGCGTGTATGCACTAAGTTTAGTTTGCAAATCACAATCTTTGGAAAATATTTTGAACTTTTTTTAAAACCAAATTTCTACTTTCATCTAAATCCAAAAGGAATTTTTAAACAATGTATCAGCCCAGACACTACCAGTTACTACAAGTTGGCCTTTGAAATAGAGACAAGATAAATACCAGATTTCTGCTCTCTCCACAAGTCATGAGAAACAGACACACTCTTGTTACTTCTATTTCTATCTTTCTTATCACTTTCTCTCCTCACTCTTGCTCCCCTTTTATTTTCTCCCTCCCTCCCTCTTTACCTTGCCCCTAACAGAAGATAAAAGCAGGCTCATTTCAAATAAAAGTATAAATGGGGAATGTGAAATAACTGGTTCAAGTCAGCAAACACCTTTAACATATTATGAAAATTGATTGACTGTGGGTGGGTGTGCACGTGTCGCAGTGTGTGCTGTACGGTGTACAGGTGCACATGTACTTTGGGTATGCACGTGTCGCAGTGTGTGCTGTATGGTGTACAGGTGCGCATGTGCTGTGGGTGTGCACGTGCCACAGTGTGCCTGTGAAAGTCAGAGGACAACTTTTGGAAGTTGGTTTTCACCTTTCACCTTGTTTCTTCTGCTATTGTGCTATGTACCCAAGGCTGATTGGCCAATGAGCTTCCAGGCAATTTTCTTTTGTTTGCCTCCCATTGTGTGTGTGTGTGTGTGTGTGTGTGTGTTAGAATATTGAAATTACAGATATACACAGTTGTAACCAGACTCTTAAGTGGATCTGGGTATTCAACTCAATAATTCTTCTCTGCCTACCACTTTCATTCGCCTTTTGAATTAGGTCCTTGTTAATACATTTACTCAAAAAACATAGTTGTTAGTCTCAGGTTGTGTGTGTGCATGTGTATGTGCAAGTCCTTGTGTACATGGCGCACAGAAATGGTCATCCTCCTCAACCACTCTCCATTTTAGCTTTTGAGACAAGATCTCTGACTGCACCCGGGACTCATCAATTCAGCTAGACTGGCTGGCCAGTGAGCTCCAGGGAACCCGCTTGTCTCCACACACTTACAGACACACTCCTCCATCCCTGACTTTTATGTTGGTGCAAGGGATCCAAAATCAGGTTCTTATTCTCGTGTTTGCAGTAGTTCTTTTAAAGGACCAATCCCCAAGAAAACCAAAGTAACTTTTCTCTCTAGCATCTGCACCTTTTCTTCTTCACTTCAATTTTAATTTTCTTCCCCATCAAGACATTGTTTCTTGCCTTTTACCTTCCTTCAGGAAGATGTGGATTACGTTAGAACTGGACATTTTGGTTTTCTGATTTTACTTTTCAAGTTGGAAGTACCAATAACCCTGGAGATTTAAGCTGGCTTTCCAACTTTTAATCTTCAGTATAAACAATTTAAGTTAAGTTTTCCAAAATTAATATTAATTTAAACCATCTGTCCACCATCTGCTAATGTGAGATGCAAAACCAGAGTTTCTTTGTGTTCCGTAATCAGACAGTTAGGAAAATACATATACATTTATAAAATGAATTTAAATTTCCTAACAAAGGAATTTTTCTGAAAAGTTATCTTGAAGGCTATGAACGCTCGGAGAGAAATTAGCGTTGGTTCAGCGTGATTTTGTGTAAATGAATGCCACGTGTCACCAGGCATGCAGCTTAGTTCACAGGGATCCGAGTGTAGAAACAATACCCTTTGCCATGTTTTCAAAAGAGAGGAGAACGCTGTCAGAAGTAAATGTAAAATATTGATTTTTAAGAATTTCAGCGCTTGCATTTGTCTAAAACGTAAATGTCAAAATGAGGCCTATGCTTGAAAAGATACAGTATAAAATAATTTTTTTCTGCCCATTAAGTTTGAAATTAGGCCAACAATTTTAATATCTTCCTTGCCAATTATTTCATTTTTCTTCCCTTTTATGGAACAGACTGTGACTATTAGTCCCAGAATTCTTAGATAACCCATCAGTGCTTTGCCAACCCAATACTCTTATTTGCTTTCTTTATATTATTTCCTTGGGAAGCTAATGCTACATAATTAAAATAGTTTGATGAACGTATTTTTGGACATATACCTAATCACCTTGAAGTCTTACACACAAGAAGTTTGTCTTTTAGATAATAAATGAGTTTTGCTGTCTATACGTCGAATTTGATACCACATCGACATAGGCCTGGAAATTCAAGTCAGTTGCTCAGTCTATGGAATATGAAAAAAAAAAGCTGATTTCAAATTAATTTTCTAAAATTATAAGGTCTCAGTCTCCTCGTGCAGGCAATTCTCCATCAGATTTTGGGCTGAATGTCACCATGTATACATCAGTTGGGGCTGAATGGGCAGCCGGTGTTTTATCTGCTGAGAGAGACTACCGTGTGTACTCAGTCCCCTTTATTAGGGAGATTTCTCTAGCAGTTGACACTGATGTACAGTAGAGCTTCTCTGGGGTGACATTTAAGGAAAATGATTCCATTGCACTAACACACAAAATCAATTAGAAAACTATTTTATGGTGCAGGTTTTTGAATTTATGAGGTTTCTCATAGTAAGCTGTACCTTTCAATTTCTTTATTAAGGTGACAATTGTGTCCCATGGGACTTTTGGGGATGACAGTCATTTGCGTGCCCTGCAAGAAGCACACACGTCAGGGACAAGGGTGGATGACTTTGTCCTTCATTTTTTAAATGAGCTTTATCACAAACTGATCATCAAAACTGTGTATTCACAGACCTTTTCAATAAGTATATATCCAAACTGATGGGGGTGGGGGTCAGGCAGCTAAGCTTATTCCATGGTGGCTGTTTATTATTCAAAAGCATAATGGTGGCTAAATTATTTAGGCAGGCAATATTTAAGTCAGTGTTAGACTTCTTAGAATTTATGGTTAAGATATCCTAAGTGAGCATGGATTGATTGCTTTTGTTTGTTAGGTTTGTATGTGTGTATATGTGTGCATATATATGTACTCATGGATGCTTGTAAACACCAGAGGTTAAAGAGGTTAACCACAGTTGTTCCTCGGGTGCTACCCATTTTTTTTTTTTTTTTTTTTTTGAAGAGAGGGTCTCTCACCAGAACCTGTGGCTGGCTCCCTGGTGTCTGCCAACTGGACAGGGAATCCATTAATCCCTTTGTCTCTTCCTTCCCAGTATTGGGATTTTAAGTACATAGCACTACGCAGCAAGCACTTTACCAACTGACCTATTTTCTCAGGCTTCCGCCTTTATAAAATAAAGCTTTTTTTTTCTTTTTCATTTTGTACAGGATGTTGTTGGCTGACCTCTAACTCAAGACTCTCTTGCCGAAATCTCCCAGATGCTGAATAAAACTACCCAGTCTACAAGTTTTTGTTGAATCATTTTAGGCAACCTTTGCATAAGTTCTCAAAAAGAGAAATCTAGAAGTTATAATAATTTTTGTACTGCTCATTGGAAATTTGAAGTTTCATTTTAGAAGTTATTTAAAAAGAAGACTTTGTTTGCAGCTTTAGTTTAGCTTCAAGTGCAACTAGAAAGGAAGCACCGGCTGCATCCTCTTTGTCTACCTAATAGAATTTCATCAGTTTTAAGATGTTAGGAATTCCCCCCATCAAACATTTATTGTGACTAAATCAGCACTGAGCTCTGGGCTAAACTGGAAGAGAGTCACTAACAGAAAAAGACAGAGATGGACAGGTGAGTATGTGGTAAAGCCTAGTTGTCTGAATTACACCAAGGAGAGGTACTGTAGATACCTGGGCCCTAGTGATGGGATTCCTAAGGTTGGATGATATGGACAGGAAAGGATCTGAAGAGAAAGTGATGTGCAGTGGGGCTCAAAGGTCAGGTGAGAGCAGAGCTCTAGCAGAAACAGGCGCAAAAGGAAAGACAGAGGCACAAAGGTATGGATGTGTGCAGGAATGTTCCAGCAAGGAGGCATATTAATGGGACTGTAAGCACAAGGCAATTAGCAAGAAGTGATGGGAGTGGACTGGATAGGGGTCTTGGGAAAATCATATGAAATGTTAAAAGTCTTTCTAAGATGTATGGCTGCTTTCATTTCCATTTTTTTTTTTTTTTTGAAATTGCAGCTTGTGCAATTGTCATTGGAAGAGATCTGTCAGCTGTCAGGGGAAAGAGTAAATTATAACAAAAAGTAATGTTGCCTGTTCATGGGTGAATTAAAACTAACCTCCTGGATGGTTAATCAAGTTGAATCTCCATCCTTTTATTACTCAAATGTTTACAGAAGGTTACAGAAGTCATTACAAGCAGAAGGTAGCACTAGTTCTTTAGGAGTAGAATAAAACCTCAACAGATACAAAAAAAAAATGGAGTAACCCCATGTAGCTTATCAGATATCCATGGCTTAAAACTAGAATTCAACAGCAACACTAATTCCAGAAAGCCAACAAACACATGGAAATTAAACAATGCTCACCTGAATCATCAATGGGTCAATAAAGAAATAAAGGGAGAAATTAAACACTTCCTAAAATTCAATGAAAATGACCACACAACATACCCAAATTTAAGGGACACAATGAAAGCAGTGTTAAGAGAAAAGTTCATAACACTAAATGCCTATATAAAGAAGCTGAAAAAAAATCCCATACTAGTGAATTAACAAAACATTTCAAAACTTTAGAACAGAAAGAAGCAAACTCACCCAAGAAAACTAGATGGCAGGAAATAATCAAATTGAGAGCTGAAATCAACAAAATAGAAACAAAGAAAACAATACATAGAATCAATGAGACAAGGAGTTGGTTCGTCGAGAAAAAAATCAACAAAATAGACAAACCTTTATCCAAACTTAACCAAAAGTCAGCGAGAGAATATCCACAAATTAACAAAATTAGAAATGAAAGGAAAAATAACAACAGACGCGGAGGAAATCCAGAGAATCATCAGGTCCTATTTCGAAAACCTGTACTCCACAAAATTGGAAAACTTAAAAGAGATGTACTGATATAGAAAGACATTCATACATATGGTACAATAAGGACACTCAGAGACAATAGAGGAAGCTGAAGGGTCAGTTTCAAGACAGTTGGAAGCAACTGGATGCTTCAAGGAGAAACCAGAGATGAGTAAGACGCCAAGACAGAATATTTAGGATAAACTTGACCATGAATAAGAGTAGATAACTGGGTACCATTAGGGGAACTCTAGAAGATAAGCTGCTAGAGACAGCAAATGCAGGTAGCTTTCTAAAAATATCTAGGAGGTAGAGTTTGATACAGAAGGATGGAAGGATGGAGACAAGGAGAGAGGGGAGAGGACCAAGGAAAGAGAGGGTGGGAGAGAAGTAGTAAATAACAAAGGAAGGGAGGGAAGAAGAAAAAAAGGGAAGGAAAGAAAGAAGAGGGAGGGAGGGAGAAAGGAAGGGAGAGAGAATATTGAAACTAAAACGCAAGCAGGAGACATATAATATGGCTCCAAGTTAAGGACAAAGATTCCAAGTGAAGAAATAATAGGAATGAGAAGGACTTGTGATGTAACAAGGAGAGTCATGGGAACAGGTACGTGTTTTGTATTTAAAGCATTTTGAAAGTCTTAACTGTAATCAACAGTTTAAATGCAGAAAAATCACTCCAGACTAGTGCTTGCAAGGCCAGAGAAGAGAAATGATTATGTGGCGAATTCAGATGTTTAGAGTTGTGAATTAGTGTACCACATCAGCCCATCCATTAGAATGAAGTGCCATATGAAATGTAGTAGCTGGGAGTCTGAGACCAAGGGAGAGTAGGTATGCCAACTCTGAACTGTCTGCCGAACTTCCTTACACTCCTAACGCCGCTCTGTGAAGAAATCCTTCATTCAAAACACATCCTAGCTCTTTTCTTCAAACTCTTACCAAATAACCTAAGCCGACCCAAAACAAATTGACAAGTCAGACCAGGAGAAAAGAATTCTTAGGAAGGGGCTGGAGAGATGGCTCAGAGGTTAAGAGCATTGCCTGCTCTTCCAAAGGTCCTGAGTTCAATTCCCAGCAACCACATGGTGGCTCACAACCATCTGTAATGAGGTCTGGTGCCCTCTTCTGGCCTGTAGGCATACACACAGACAGAATATTGTATACATAAATAAATAAATATTTTTTTAAAAAAAAGAATCCTTAGGAAGTAGTGGAGGAGCCTGTAACCAGGTTGTATACATGATGATCACTGCACTCCCGCGAGCCATTCTTTTGTTTTTGCTCGACAAGACTAGATGAATGTTCCACATGTTGCCCGTGAGGAAATGTGAGGCCCTAAAGAGCCAGCAAGAGTGGAAGCCACGCGCAAAGTGTCCCACCTGAAATCAGAACAGTGAAAGTGTCGCCGTATTTCCTTTGGAGAGTCCTTAGGAAAGCTAATGGGTCCTTTTGGAGCTTCAGAGTAATGCCGAGATAAGGAAGCCAACCTTTTATCAGGGGAGGTTCACCAGGTCGCCTATGAAAAGAAAAGAAATCAAAGAAAAAATGAAATCATCCATGTTTAAATACATGCAGGTTATGTATTCAGTCTAAATAAAAACACATGAACTGCACAGGTCTCAGTTTCATACTTCATTGGTTCTTGAGTGGTCACTGACACGGGCTTATAGTGCTTTCGGTTTGTGTGGATATTGGGTAGGTACTGCAGTTCCTTGCTTTTGTTGGTCATCTTTTGATACCATTTTTCTTAGAAGGATTTCACCACTGCTTGACAGCTAAGTCACGGGCTGATGGATTTATCATAAGTCCAGTTTTCTATCACTGTACACCTGAAGGGTCTGTGGCTAAGAGGATCAGTAGGTAACCAAATCGATTTGTAGAATGTATTTTGCAAAAGTGTCAGTTTGGTACAACGCTGATAAAAAAAAGTTAATTGTCTGATTTTCCTTTTGTCTTTTGCAATTCATGCTATAAATGTTACCTACTTAATCTAGTAAGAACTAAACTTGGTTATTTTATTTTTACAATTTTATTGTATGTATATGGGAGTTTTGCCCACATATATGTTTGTGTACCAAGTGATCAAGGAGGACAAAAGATAGCATTGGATACCCTGGAAGTAGAATGAAAGACAGTTGTGAGTCACCACGTAGGTCCTGGAAATTGAATTGGGGTCTTCTGAGAGAGCTCAAGTGTCTTTAGTCTCTGATCTTTCTCTTTAGCAACCCCCAACTTAGTGTAAACTAACATTCGTGGTTGTTGGCTATGTACTTGCCAAGTGTGATGGCTGATCTTGGTTGTCAACTTGACACACTTGGGAAGAGGAAAGATCAAATGAGGAGTTTCCTCCACCAGATTCTCCTGTGAGCATGTCTGTGGGATATTTTCATGTTTGCTAACTAATGGGAGATAGCCTAGCCCACTGTGGGCTGTTTCCCAAAGGTAGGTGATCTTGGAAATTATAAGCCAATTGGTCCTAGCCAGAAAGAGGGAGAGGAAGAAAGGAAGGAGGAGAAAGACTGAGAGATGAAAGAGAGACAGAGACAGAGAGAAAGCTATGGTGTTGACGAATTAGGTCGGTACCAGACCAGCTCAAGAATAACAGTTATTTTTTTTAATAGTTGAAAAGGGGAAACTCATGCTACAGGAGTGGGAGGTTAGAAATCCAATCGGTCCGGCAGGCACTGAGCAGAGAGACAGTGCACCTGTATCCTATCAGTTTTGTTACCTAGGCTACAGGTAGCCACACCCTAACTAGTGTGATTGGTTGATAGTTTTCCCATCACTATGGTCTCTGCTTCAGTTCCAGGCTGAATTCCTGCTCCAATACCTCTGAATGGTAGACTGTTGCATGGGATGTTAAACCAAATAAATAACCCCTTCTCACCCAAGCTGCTTTTAGCCTAGCGTGTTATCACAGCAACAGAAAACAAACTAATACACCAAACTGCTATGTAATAGATCTAATCTAAGAATTAAATTGCTTATAAACTATGCATTTCAATTGCTGATTATTTAATTTCATAGACTCCCATATTTCATTTCATAGTAGCATGGGGTGTTCAGTTATGTAGACTAGGTCATTTACCTCCCAACTGTATGCAGAAGCACTTACATCTTCTACAAATTTAGGGTATGAGTTCATTAAATCTTAATAAGACTTCATTGTATTTATGTATGTTAAAGCTTTAGGGTAATGGTGCACATGGAACTTGAAGGCTTTCAAAAACACTTTAGTGAATTTTGCGCATTGAAAGGAGGTGTGCTTTTTAGAATGAACAAGCCACATTATTCAATGTGTTTGTTTTCCATTCATCTGGTTGATCAAAGAGTTTAGAACCAGATGTCACCTTGAAGGCTTGTTTTCGTGGCCAAAGAATCTCAGGTCTCAGATGTGAAGACATTTGCCTAAAGGTTAAGAACATTCTGTAAACTCTGCAGCCCCACAAATGTGCTTTCAACCACCCAGGAAAATCAGTCAATCCATGAACCCAATTAAAAAAATATTATCTCAGCAATGAAGAGCTCTGGCTGCAATGACAGACACATGCAGTGAACACAGTCTACTGCAAATCCGAGAGCTCTTGCTGTGCTCCGGGTGTCAAATGTCACAGAGTTTAGCTGCCAACATGAAGCTCTTTGTTATCAGTTGTCAATCGGGCTGGAATTACATAATCAGAAGAACGACAATGAATTAGCTTGAAAAATCTGCTATGTTATTGAGAACAATAAAGATGCCGGTGCAGAGCATGTGGGAGATCTCGGAGGTGAAGTGCTTGCTTACTGTGTTCGAATGAGACTCTCGGTTTGATTCCTGGCATCACACAAAGAAAAAGAAACCCTCAAAACCTCAGTATAATTTTCCTGAGTTTTGTATTTTGTTACCATTTCATGAAGAATTTTTTTTAAAATAATGACTACAGTTAGGATTGTTTGTTAAATATTACTAATTAAGTAATTTTAAGCATGTGAAACATTCCTTAAAATACTATGAATTAAAAGTTTCTTGTTTTTTTGATCTCTGACATTAGCAAACTTGTGTTGCAAAATTTCTTCCAGTCATTTATCTATTTATCTAGTAAATACAATCTGATTTAAGATAAAAATAAGACAAACTGAATAATCCTTTTTTTTTTATCCTTGAAGGGATCAAAACAAATATTCAGAAGGACTTCAGTTCTCTGGTCCATCTGTGATACTATGTGCTTCATGCTTGTGATCAATCATAAATATTACTAGCTCAGATTTAATCAAAGATCAAGATTATCATCATCTCATCAAGGGCTTTAGTGCAGCTGTATTAACCCTATCAACTGTCTTCACTTCCCACATACTAACACAGTAGACTTGAACAAAATAGAAGCAGCAGAGCCACCGTGTATGTGTGTGTGGGGGGGGGAGTGCAAAATAAAAACCGAGTTGCAAAAGAAATCATAGGAAGATTTTGCATTCTTTATTTGAAAGACAGTTTATTTTATTACTAATATAACAGACATGGCAGTATTTAAGTATATCTGCACAGACATGTGGAAACAAGCCATGTTTTAGAAAAAAATGGATCTTATTCTTCATACCTTTTCCCTATTCTCTTTCTTTTAAAAATTTTTAAAAATTTGTTTGATTTTTACATAAGTGGTTTAGCTATCCTGAGTTTTTTTGTTTTTTTAATATGAAGTTGAGTATTATTCTTTCAAGGTCTGTAAAGAATTATGTTGGAATTTTGGTCGGGACTACATGGAAGATTGTTTTTGTTAAGATGTCCATTTTTACCATGCTAATCCTACCAATTTATGAGCACAGGAGACCTTTCAATCTTCTGATATATTTTTCAATTTCTTTCATCAATGTCTTGAAGTTCTGGTCATAAAGCTCTTTCATTCGCATAGTTAGACTTACCCCCAAGAGAGTTTATATTATTTTTGGCTATTATGAAGAGTGCCATTTTTTTCCTAAGTTAATTTATCATTTATATGTAAGAGGGTTACTGATTTTTTTTAAAGTTAATTTTCATCTACATCACTGAAGGTGTTTATCAGCTGTAGGAGTTCCCTGGTAGAATTTTTGGGGTTGCTTATGTATAGGATCATATCTGTCCCATCTCAACTTGATGTGCCATGCTTTGTTGATATTAATGAGAAATCTGCCTTTTTCTGAAAAGAAAAGGAGAAAGAGTGGATTGGGGGGAGGGCAGTGAGGAGGCAGGGGGAGGAAATGGGAAGAGAGGAGGGAGGTGAATTGTGATCGGGATACAAAATAAATGAATAAATTTAATTAATAAGAAAATTGAAACAAAAAATACATGTTTTGAGACAGGGCATTGCCCAGGCTGGCCTTGAACTCTAGTATGCTTTTACCTCTGCTTCCGAATCTCTGTATTGGGATTATGGGACTGAAGAACCAACTCGTGGCTAACTCATTATTGTCTTGAATCCAGCTTTTCACTCTGTTCTGGGGTTACAGACACAAGTCACCACACCCAGCTTTTTGCATGGGTGCTGGGGTTCCAAACTCAGGGCTCATATTTTGGACAGACATTTCACCCACTGAAGCATCTCCCCAGCCAGGTCTACCCAAACCTTGGAGAAGAGAGCACACATATGAGTAGAGAGGGACCCTCAGGGTGAAATTTGTTACACAATTGGACCAGGATCCTTTGAAGGTTTTAAGCATTCTAGTTCACAGCATCCTGTTTCAAAATACTAGCTCAACTCATTCCCTTGATCTCCTTTTACTGTGTCTGGTTTAATGTTGCATTGTGAATACGATTTAGTAAGGCCTTTTGTCATGTTCTAATTTAAAACAACTAATGTCATCTTCTATGCTGTCATTCAACCAAAAGTTGTATTCTTCATGGCGCTTAAACAGGGGCGAGGATGGGATGCAGGAATCCAAGGGAATATTAGTTGTGTTTTGTATTACAAAGCCACATTAGAACTCCATTTTATTGCTACAGACATGGCAGGGCCATTATTTCTTACAGCTGTATTTATTTTGGCAGGAGTAAATTTAAGAATATTAAGCACTATGTCACAACTGTACACAGTTACGGGCAGAAAATAGTGCTTGTTCAGCTTACAAACCATCCAAAACAAATAGTGATCTATCTTTATTGCGATAGTTGTAAAAATTTTGTAAGGAGGAGAGCTATCACTATATTGGTCCAGAAAGACCTGTTGACACATGGCACAGGGCAACTACTGCTGTTTATCCTCATGCTCCATGACTTTGAAAATGAACTATTCGGTGCTCTCTACTGAGTGAGAACACAGGATGCTCAGTACCACTTGTGGCTAATACAATCTTAAGGCTGGCCTAAACCTGGGCCTGATGTGTTGTATGAAGTTTAAAAGCCTATGGTATCTACTCTTTCTTTATCTTATTTTAATAATGCATACACTCTCAAATTAGTATTTAAGGTAATAAAGTGATATGACAATCATATTCACTTGGGATTTTTAGGTGTCCTCAAAAATCCAATCCATATTCTTTGCACACACAATTTCATAAGCACCTGAG